GGTCTCCACCCCAGCTGTGAGTGAAGCATGGCTCCTGTCATCAGACTCCAGTACTTGTTGCCAGCAGCTCATGGACAGTGCCTACCCTTACCTACAAGCAGGCACAACCATGGTGACTTTGCTGACTAACCAGGGCCAGACCTCTGCCTCAGCCCTCTCCTATCGAGGTGTTCTCCAGTGGGAGCCCACAAGAAACACTGACCAGAGGGGAGATGCACTCCAGGACTTCACTGTAACTGTCAATGAACAGAATACCACATTCTCCTCCATCTCTAGGACAGCCCAGGGTGATAATATTTTAGATCCCAATGCCTTAGTCCTTTCCTATCCAACACTGTCTGCCAGCCTTGTTCAGGCCACACCACCACAGGTACCAAATCAAGGATACAGGCTAGTAGCTTCCAACCTGGAGGGCACCCAGGTCTATTACAATGACTTCAACAGCCTGGGCCTTCTGATGCCTGGAGTACTCAGGCCGTGCCTGCAGGCTAGTGGCTCTGTGTCCTACTCTGGGTTTCAGGCCTCTGCCCTGCAACCAGAGATGGTGATGATGCCAAAGGAGATTCAGTCAACAAATGTCCAAACACTCTTCTCCACATCTGCCATCTACAATGTCATACCTGTTCAAGACATGCCAGACACCAGTCTTCAAGGTGAGTAGAGCCAGGAGGGAGGACTGAGATCAGCACTCAAAGCAGACACAGCTCAAACTTTCAGGAGTGGATGTCCTCAGGGAGGAAAAATGGGAGTCCTGAGAGCTCAGCCTTGGCCTGGCTCCCCATCCCCATCTTCAGTCTCTATAATGACTGAAATTGCAGGGCAATGAGTGGCATACATCCTCCATTAAATGATGTCCAAGGACACCCCCACAGACACACATGCCCCTGACCTAGCTAATCAGTCCCATGCACCATTACACAGCAATTGCCTCCTTCCTAATCTATTCCTCGGGGCTGTAGATAACACCAAGGCCTTTCTGTTTGGTAACACTTTATATTCTCTCGCTTGAATTCTGACTCTAGAGCAGTGCAACTACAAATTTGTCCTAGAAGAAGTATTGCAGATTCCAATTGCTGGCTCTGCTGTTCTCTTAGAAGCAAAAGTGCATTGAGAGTCCAGTATACCCGGTGTACCAGCTACAACTGCTAAATTGGGCAAAGTTTCTCTCTCATTCTCTCTCTCTCTCTCTCTCTCTCTCTCTGTCTCTCTCTCTCTCTCTCTCTCTCTCTCTTTCTCTCTTCCCTTCTCATTTCCCCTCTCTCCCCTTTTTTTTTTGCTATGGTTATTCAGAGGTAAGCCAAGGCTATGCATGATCACTAGGATATGTTCTAAACTACAAAGATAAACCAAGCTAAAGATTTCACCTTCACCAATTTTCAAATCATTAATAATAAGCCTGTGAAATGTGGAGCTGGAGGAAAACCAGGGTTGTTGAAAAGATTGCCTTGCAGGCATGAGGAACTGGGTTTTGGATTCCTGACCCATTTAGAAACTCAGTAAGCAGGGGGAATTTGAGTAATGCCAAGAGTTGGAAGACATGAGCAAGTTCTTTAAAATTATGGACTGGACAACCTTCCTGAGAGCAAACTTCCACAGAAATGAGGGTCACTCATTCAAAGACAAGAGGAAAGGAAAGGATGGATCACACCCCCAGGCAATTCTGTCACCTCCACATGATCACTATGCATACACACGAAACACAAACACAGAGGAAAACACAAACATCTGAGAAATGATGATATCACATAGTAACTAGAAATTAGAGAGTGGTCACAAGTCTCCCAAAAGAGGTGCAGCCTGTGCTACTCAAGCAGAGCTCATAGGAATGCCTTCCCCACTACTGTAGGGGTCTGATTACTGAGGAGCATTGAAAAGTGGTGAGCAACTCACTTACCAGGCACTGACTTCTTCCTTTACTCTTTTTCAGTGGTGAAAATGGAGACAACCCTGGGATTGACAGCTGCAGGCCAGACACTCTGTCTGCTGCAGAGTCCAAACCTCTGGAATTCCTGCATGCAGGATGTTCAGAAGTCACCACCTGTCCATGGGGACTGGTCATTAACTGCCCCCATAGAGAGTCCTTCAGAATTCCTGCCCTTGACTCCTGCTCCAATGTTGGAACAAACAGACAATAACGACTTGGATTTGATGACAGATGATCTATCAACTCCTCTGGATGCCTGTGAGGGCATAAAAGAAAAGCAAGACCCATCACTTCTCCCTTTAGCACATGCCAACCTGCAGCAGACCATGAACTACACTGATTTAGGGATCCTAAAACAGAAGCTTTCTGCTGACAATGCCACCTTGGGAAGCAGCAGCCTTGGTCAGGATGAGCCTGGGCTGCTGCAGAGTGAGATGGGCTCCAGCATGGACTTTGCAGACATGACTACACTGGTGGCAGATATTCATCTTCCCCGACTCTTCAACTCAATCACTGATAGGAACCCATTCCAAGATCCCACAGCAACCCAATCCAAAGACATCAGCAGGGATCAGGTCCAGGAAAGCTCTAGCACCATCAGTGTACCTGTGGACCAAGTGAGAAAGAATGGCCAGAAAGCCTGTGAGATGCTATATGGGTCTCCTCAGGCCAGAATCCAGCTCCAGGACCTGGTGACAGGAGAAGAGGCTGTGGGCAGTGCTGGGTCCAGTGAAGGGGCTATTGACAACATGCCAAAGCACTTGGAGGGCAGAGCCCAGAAAGCCACACCCAGCACGCCCAGCAGAGCTAGGGTTCATGAGCAAGACAAGACCAAGAGATCCAGAGAAAACAACTGCAAGAAAACAGAGGAGCTCAAGCAGTCAAGGAACAGAGTCAAGGCAGACGAAAACACCACCATGCCAAAGAACAAGAGGAAGAGGAATCCACCTGAGCTCAGCCACAACAACTTTAAAAAGCCTCGAACACACCTCGGCATGCACATGCTAGAATCCGTGCAGGTCTTTCACCCACTGGGGAAGAAGAGTGAGAAGAAAACTGTCATCTCTTCCTCCCAGGCTCGGCTAAACTTCAGCAGCAACAAAGATCCCAGGGCAGGCCCAGCAACCACATCACTTATGGATGTGCCATGTGATGGCCAAGGCCCTAGTAAAACCCCGAGCAATGCTCAGAGAACAGAGAGAAATGCTTACAGGGAGTGTTGTCCATCTCGATCCCAGTATGAGCTGCCCCCACCTGGCAAGGTCAAGTTAGTACCTCTAGCTTTTCCAGTCCTGGACATACCACAAGCAAGACCTATTTCTACAAAGCCTCTCTCCCTGGCTTCACACAGGGCCCCTGCATTGTACCCTGTGAGACCTCATTCTGACTCAACTCAGTCTACCACACTCAAGCCATCTACACCAGCTCCTGCCAGCACTTCTTTGATGGCCTCTGACAAGCCAGTTCTGGCTATTGCTACCAGTGCCACCCGAGATAACATAACCAACCCCATCCAGTCTTGCACTGGGCCTCAGACAGCTGTCTGTAGGCCAGTATCCTACAGGGCATCATCTCACCCTTCACTACAGAGGGAGCTTGCCTCTGCTGATAAGAATAAGGCCCCATCACCTCACAAACCTCAAATCCAAAATCTGCTGCAAGACTTCAGCCACCAAACAATTCCATGGAGGAAAGTTGACATCCCAGGGCCAGTCATCTCACAGCCTATCACAGAAGATCAGAGGCCAGAGAGGGAGGCCATGAAGAGGCGGGCTCAACATGAGAGAGAGAATGCCTCCAAGAACACTTCTCTGGGGAAAACCGCAGCTTTTCCTTCAGAGGCAGAATGATATGGAAATTTCCAGATATTTTGGCTATGTCATGTAAGGGCTAGCCTAGCCGTTGGAACACAGTACTCTTCAACAGAGAGAAGGTGAGATATGGAGACACATATACATGTAAACATTGGTATAAAGACTTGGACATAAGTGTATATATGTAGGTATGCATTGAGTTAAGGTGAATAATTTGTACATCCCGGGATTTACACATAATTGGTCAGACATAATTTCATTACTTGTAAATATCTGAAGACACTAAAAGTGACTGAGGAAACTGAATTCGGTTATATTTTATCCATGAGTAAGTATATATAGAGGGCTTTGATGGTTTCTTCGTACAATTGCTGTTATTCATTTATGTTGTGGAAGTATTAATATATGTTACATAAATATATCATATGCTAAAAATCCCTGGTAGTGTTATTTAAGGTAAAATTAGTTAGCCAAAACCTGTACTGGTAATACAATTATACTCCTTGACTTTTATTTTTAGGTAAAGTAAAAGTCTTTGATCTTGGTGTGTTTCCTATAATGTATTCTGTGATAGTAAACACACTCCTGTTCTTACCACACTTCCTCCCATTTTGAAACACCCAGCCCTTTAATTAATACTAGTCTAGGACAAAGATCCTGCTGGAATTTCATGAAATGAAATACAGGAGTATATGTGCACACTATCAAGCACCCTCCATAAAGAGAAAATAGACAAGGTTGACCAATTTCCTGACTTGGGCATCATTTGATTACTCTTTTTCTCAAGTTGTATTCATCTTTGAAATCACCCATTAATGCTTTATTTTGTGTTTATTTATCGTCCAACTGATTTCCTGTGGAACACATGTGTGGAGTGCCCACAGAGGCCAGAAGAGGCCATCAGACCTCTGTGGACTGGAATTAAGAGTGATTCAAAGCATCCAGAAGGTGTTCTGATGTAACCCAGCGAATACTGTAAGAAAAGCAACCGTTCTTATCTACTGAGC